CACACCACTACCCATCAAAGAGGAAACAGGAAGAACAACAATCTCAAGTCTCTCTCTCCCATCCTCTTGTCTCCCACCAGCCAAACCCATTGACCTTGACCAAGGGGAGGTAGAGAGCAAAGGCAGCCTGGTGGTGCAACCCATGGGTCAGCCTGTAGGCCAGTGAGCAGGGTGCACAGCTCTGGGGGAGGGAAATGGAAAACAATGCCCAGCTCCGTAACTGCTCTACATAGAAGCAGGAAAGATTTAAAATCCTCCACGTGAGAACTTAACAGGCTATCAGAGGCTTTTGAAAGTGCCCTTCCTTATAATCCCTGGTGGACACTGGGTTACAGACCTGCCCTGGTCGGAGGCCAAGGATCCTAGGTCGCAGCAGGCTATTTTCTGGCACACTGCCGCAAGCATTTCTAACTGTTCCATGGCCTGTTGTGATTTTAATGACATCTGCTAACATTCTGACTTAAAACACAAGGAAAGCATGAGCAGGCAAGTTCAGAAACTCCCCACGGACAAAGAAGAAGTTGTTATCTAGGATGTCACAGAACATGGGCTCAGCCCCTCAAGCGGGGTAGGCCCACCTAAGGGCCTGCCCGACTGAGTGCCCCAGGCTGGCTGTGGAGGTGATGCCTTCCCCTGTGCTTCTGAAGGCTGAGCGCCTTCTCCTGACACCCAAACCTAAGGCCTTCTAGCCACCCTCAGTGCTGGTCTCTCCTTGCTATTGGGTATCCATTTTAAGACATGGGGTAACCATTGCCAAATGTAGACATGAACAAAAAAAGAGGCAAAACTGAAAGATGAGAAGGAAAGAGGGGAGGGGAGGGGAAAGAAGGAGAAGGAAAAGGGAGAGAGGGGAAGGGGGAAACCCATAATATGCCTAGAACTGGCTTCTAACGGGTTCTAACTTCACATCAGCTACCTAGCTAACCAACTCTCTATTTTTTTTCTAATTTTCCCACTTCGTCCTGTTATTCTGTTCGTTTTGCTTTAATTATGAAAGTCACACAAAGGGCTGGTGACATAATCTCCCATAAACTTGCCATCCCAGAAAACAGTTTAGCCTTTAGCTGGAGATCTTCTTTGTTTTCCTATGAAAATACTGATATGCAGGCCTAACCCTGGGGCCTCGACTCAGGGCCTCACGTTCTCACCTGGCTTTTAAACCCATAGCTGACAACTGACTGATATACACGCTTCATTTATTTTGGCCCACTAGAAGTCATCTCTGTTTACTTCAGAAGATCTACTCTTCCAAGTCTGGGCCAGGCAAAACAAACAGACAAACAAACTAGCCCTATAGCTGGCTCTTACCATTTGAGCTGTACCTCCACCACTTCTACTACTGAGCATTTGTTGGTTAATAGGACTTGTCTTCTTGGGTTGGCTTTGAACCTTCATCTTTGGATCTCAGCCTCCTGAAGTAGCTAGGATTTTGAGATAGTGTCTCATGATATAGCCCAGGCTGGCCACTAATTCATACTCTTCCTGCCACTACCTCCCAAGGACTGGGATTATAAATGTATGCCACCAGACCTAGTTTCACTTTTTTAATTGTGACCAAATACATATCACATGCAAAGTTTAACTTTCAAAACACTTATTGAGCACCTACTGTGTATCAAACACTGTGCTAGAGACACCAAGGTATGGAAGACAGATATAGCCACTTCCTTCTAATTAGGAGGGCTATGAGCATTAGTTGTGCTTTAGAAGGGTCAGAACAAGGGACATGTAGAAGTGTGGGACTGGTTCTCATTGCTCCATCTGTGCATATATTTACTCGGCATACACTGGGTACCAGGCACCGGGCCAAGCCCTGGCAACACAGGTTGTTACAAGATGTTAGCCTTACCCTCACCGACCTTATACCCAGACAGTGTACCTGGAATCCTAGCTTTAGTTCTTGCTTTCCTGTAGGCTATTTTTGCTTTATGAGATATCATGGCCCACTGTGTGAGCTCAATTTATATAACACCTGGGAAAATGGGCAGAGCAGACATTACCTGGGGAGTCCCACAGTGAAAACTCCTTGCTCAGAGCCAGTGTTCCCTGGTTCCAGGCTGCCCACCTTACTGGCGGCCCCTTCTGCGTCTACACCTACTGAGCCCAGAACCTGTTTCTCCTGCCATCTTTGCTCTGCCACACAGGAGGGTCTCTGGGGCCCCTGGCTCTCATTGCTCTGAAGTCTGAGTCTGGTTTTGCTCCATCCTCAGCCAAGGACACATGTCCTTGGACACATATAGGCCTCTAAATAAGCCTCAGACCTGAGAGCATTTCTAGAATGTATTTGAAGACTTCATAAAACATTCAGCGAGACTGTTAGTTTCTTTGAGTGCATTACTTGGAATATTGAGAATTTCTACCAAGTAGCAAATCTCATTGCCACATGAAGATTGACAAAATTGAAGGTTAGGAGAAAAGGAGCTCCACAGGTGGCTGAGCTGTCTTCAGCTCTTACCCTAACTTCACAGGGCTTCTCTTCTTCAAGTGTCTCATCTCCACCTGCTAGCCGCCCCACCCCCCACTTTCTTTCATTCTGATGATAAAAGAAACTCCATGTGGGAGCCAGAGTTGTGTGATTATGATTGGCTCTAAGGAGGCTGGGTCTAGGAGTGGCTCCAATAAATAACACTCCAAAATCGAGTTCATTTGGCGCTTGCCAGACAAATGCTGTAGAAATAGTTCAGTGAACAGACCCCGCCCACTTGTGACTCTGGAGTAGACAGGCTGACTCTGCCAGCGCCCTCTCTGATTGGCCAGCTAAGCCCCTGCGTAGAGCATCTCACTCTGCAAAGGGTGAGCCAGGAGATTTATGGTCTCACGTGACCTGCTCCCTCCCACAGAACAGAGACACAATTTCAAATTATCTGCAGAAAACATTAGTGGATATTTTCCCATCTGCATGCCTCCGGGCCTTATTGAGTCATAAAAAAGTAAATGATTTCCCTGAATGCTTTGACAAATCTGAGAGTTCCAAGCCATTTTCTAGCTGATTGGTTTGCCACCAGCATGTCTCTGCACAGACAGCCTTCATGGCAGAGAGTCCTGGAAATCAGCAAGGGACAAGGGTTGGTTGGGGGAGGGGGGGATGAGATGGAGACTCTAAAAAGCTCTTGTGCCTTCCAAGATGATCTGCAGGACAGGGGAGAGGCCTTGAGCACTGACCTTGAGGCCACTTGTCACCAAAGATCCGGAGTTGTCTTGTTTCAGAAGGAAGGGCACATCGATCCCTGCTCAACTTCCAAACCTTTTCCTGTTGGCTGTTGGGTCCTGAGAGAGCTGGGTTCTGTGCCAGCTTCCTGAGCTGCCCTTGATCTAATGGGAACGGGAACATCTTGGCAGCTGCAGGAAGATGCGACACCAAAGCGATCACTTTATTACTTGGGACACAGAGTCACAGTGCTGACCTTTCCCAGGGTGATATAAAGACTGTGCCTTTTGCAAGAGAACTCAATCCCCTGGGGCTAGGCTACTTCCTGAACACAGCCTTGGCCCATCCCGGAGCCTTCCACCCATCAGGACCTGGCATGAAACCAATAGGGGACAAAAAGGGCCTTCCCTTCCTCCTCTTACAAACCAGAAGTTGTTGTTAGGGCTACTAATATATTGAAGACCCAGGAAGGGTTCAGAGAATGCGGCCTTGCAGCACAACCTAGGAGAGGAGGAGAAGGGGCCTCCACCAGCCCTGCTCTGTGCCCCCCCCCCCCCCCGCTCCCAGCACCAGTGAGAATCAGAGTACAACCTGCCCGTTGCAAAAGCAAAACACATTTAACATGTGCAAAATGTGGTGCAGGCAATAAGGACAAATGCTTAGTTAGGAGTCAGGATAGAGAAATGCAAAGACAAACAAGCTTCATCAGTCAGGCTTCCATTGTAAGAAAAGACTCTGCAAGGTAGGAGAGCCGCATTCAAAACAGGTGCATGGGCTGGGGGCATGACTCAGGTGGTAGAGTGCCTGCCTAGTGAGCTCACAGATCTGAGTTCAAATCCCAGTATGGGAGGGGAGGGGAAGAACCATGAAAACAGCAGGCAAAAGGAAGCCCAAATGTCCCAGTACCATCCCAAATCCTCCTACTCTCTCTGGGGGTTAAGTTATAATAGACAATAGACCTGCTGGTGGAAGGGAGATCTTGGGTTGAGACCATTAGGCTTCATGAGACCCACTTGTAGAGAGCCACACAGAGGTCTAGAGCCCTTCCTCTGAGCAAGGAACAATCTCAGAAAACAATGTGCACCTGTGGCATCTGTGTCCTGAATTGTCTCATGGTAAAGTGCACCTTCTGCTCTGTTCTACCGGATATAGTCCCTACCTCCCCACAGCCCCAGCCCATGCCACAGCTGTGTAAAACTCCAAAACAAACACCAACATATCAACTCCAGCCACACTGGCCACAAAGGAATTTTGCCCACAACCTGTCCTGCATTCTCCACCCGTCTCTGTTGGTCTTCAGTGTCTCTTGCTGAATGGCTTTACCATCCTCCCGCCATCTACCATCTTTTAAGGACCATTATAATTCCTCCTCTTGCCAGGTGCTGGTGGCTCACCACCTGTAATCCTAGCTACTCAGGAGGCTGAGATCTGAGGCTCATGGTTCAAAGCCAACCCTGGGCAGGAAAGTTACAGCTCTACTGCTGTACTCACAATCAGCTTGTATTGGAGCTATATTGTGAGGACCTCCCCAAATCAAATGATGTGATCCAAGCAGGGAGCTCCCTACAACCACTGGCTCCAGGCTTTGCTTGTAAAACTGCTCCTGGGACAAATATTTGTGGAATAAGACCCCAACTTGGCAAAGGAAGCCTTCTCAGAGCATCCTGTAAAGAAATAGAGAAGGATGGCTGCCTAGCCTCCACCCTGGGCCGCCTCCTATACTGCCCTCTGGTCCTCAAGAGCAAGCCTTGCCTTGGTGCTTGGACTCTTGATCCATTTCTTCCCACCTCTTATTTTAGCCTCAGTCAATATTTTGTAAATGAACTTACTGGCTTTCTTTTTCTGTACTTAGGCACAAAATGAGCTGATGAATTCAGGTTTGTACCTGGTACTGCTACTTCACCTCTATGAGCAAAGGTTTGCCGAGCTCATGAGACTCAACTACAGGCGGGTTTCAAGAGAGAGGGTAAGTGTGGCTCTGGAGTGGGTGGGGCACAATCCACAAAGCCTTGCCGTGGTATTAGATGTGCAATCTCTTGAGGTCCTTGTGGTCACATGGTAAGATCTGGGACTGTCATTGTTAGGACTGAGAGTTAATGGCTGCTAAGGGTACATGCACTGACTCTCTGGCCTCTCCAATGAGAAACTAGCCTGGATGGTAGGGCTCAGGGGGGAGGGGCACTGTGTGATTGTGCCCTCCACCCAATTACAGAGGACCCATGCAACATGGGACCTTGCCCATTGGGGGCCTGATTAGTAATCAGATCTTAAGATGAACCCTTCTTTCTGTTTTGACCGGATCCCAGAATATTTATGCCTCTGTGCATGTGCACACACCCTCATGCACATGCACGTGCTGAGAGAAAAAGACTGCCAAGAAATAAAGGTGTGCATGGAGGCCCTGTTAAACAAGTGACATGGCCACCTATGGCTGTACTGGTCCTGGGTGTTGAACTCAGGGCCTGGCTGCTACCCCTGAGTCTTTGTAGTTAAAGTTAGCATTCTACCACCAAAGCCACTTCACTGTTTTTTTTTTTTTTTGTAGTTAAGTCAGAGATGAAGGCTGGGAAGGTAGCTCAGTGGTAGAGTGCTTGCCTTGTATGCATGAGGCCCTGGGTTCCATTCCTCAACACCACATAAGCAGAAAAAGTCAGAAGTGGTGCTGTGGCTCAAGTGGTAGAGCGCTAGCCTTGAGCTGAAGAGCTGAGGGACAGCGCCCAGTCCCAGAGTCCAGGTCCCACAACCGACAAAAAAAAAAAATAAAAAACGTTGGAGACTCTCATGGACTTTCTTGTCTGGGCTGGCTTTGAACCATGATCTTCAGATATCAGCCTCTTACATAGTTAAGATTCCAGGTATGAGCCACCAGCTCATTTCATTTTTGTTGCTGGTACTGGGCTTGAACTCAGAACCCTGTGCTTTCTCTCCACTTTTTTGCTCACGGATAGCACTGAGCTATCCATGGCTACTGCCTGAGTCACTCTCCACTCTCTAGCGTGGCACTGGTTAATCAAAGGTCAGAGTCTCCAGGATTTTGTCTGTTCAGGCAGGCTCTGAACCTTGATTCTCAGATCTCAGCCTCCTGAGTAGGAAGGATTACAGGGTTAGCCATCAGTGCCTGATTTGAGCTGCCCTTTCTTCAACAAGATGGCCAATACTTCTAACAGGCCACATGAGCTGGAGGGAGCAGCCTAGTGCTGCTACCAACTAAGGGCTTGGCTTTAGTGAAGTCAATGATGGGCTACAAGGTCTTAGGGTACTTAGTCATTATCAAGTCAGCACCTTGAACCCTTTGAGAACCTTCTTTCTTTATCAAAGGGCTCCTTGTAGCCAGACAGCAAAAGCTCTGCACAAACAGGGGCACCTCCTTTTCCTTAAGGTCATACTGGCAACCTATGCTAACACTATGCTGCTAACATTAGAGTCCCAAAACTCCCCCTGAGGCTTTGATCTTGACCTCTTCCCATGCCAGAAGGTCATAACCAGAAGGTGAGCCAGTGGAAAAAGCCACTGATGGTACCATGAGACTGTTTTAGTGATCTGCCATCCCACCCCAAGTCCTTCTCTCTTCCTTATTTTTCCTTCTCTGCTTCTCTCCCCCCTCCTCCTTCCCCTTCTCTCCCCCCACTCCCCTTTAGTAGAAAAGAGACACCTTCCAGCATTCATCACTGCCTGCCACATTGGAGCCCAGCAATTCCCAAGGCTCCCTACACTGTCACAGACCCCACTGGACTCAGAGCTGTTACGATCTGTTCCAAGCCACTCCTATTTAAAAATGCCAGATTCAAGCCATCAGTTAAAAAATTCTAGGTTCATTCCCACTTTTTTTCTGGCTTAAATTCTTCCCTCAGATCCTGAGCTCTCAATGAAGACGACCAGCTGGATCTCTGCCAATGTATCTCTCCAGGAATCTCACCCTGTTTTTAACCCAGGCTTGTCCTTCCTTAAACTCTTCCATGGTTTTAATGGTGACATAAATTCCGCAGAGATATGGATTTAAAAAAAAAAAAGGAAAGTACAGAAAGCAGGAAATGAGCCTTTGTTAACATTTGTGTAACTTCATTTTCATGATTTCACATCTTTTTTTAATGAACTTTTTATTACACATTGAAGTTCAAAGCTCCAGAGTTGGTATGGGTCAGGGCAGGTCCCAGTGTCATCCGGCAAATGCAAGCCACCAGGACTGCAAAGCAAACACAAGAGGACAAACAGTACAACGGATGGATGGAAACCAAGGCCCTTAGAACCCTGATTCTGAGGAACCTTCTGGTAAAACTCTTGTAGAAAAGGAGTAAGTTACACCAGGAGCAGAGTAGTAAAGAGAAAAAAAGGGCCAGGTAATGCCCTTCTCTCATCGCCAGCTCACATTCAAGCTGAGAAACTCTAAAATAGGTCTCACCCAATCTAATTTCAAGCATTAACAGTATAAACAGTCATTTAAGAATTCCACATGAGGGCTGGGAAGATGGCTTAGTGGTAGAGTGCTTGCCTTGCATGCATGAGGCCCTGGGTTCGATTCCTCCACACCACATAAGCAAAAAAAAAAAAAAAAGAAAGAAAGAAAAAAGCTGGAAGTCACACTGTTGCTCAAATGGTAGAGCATTAGCCTTGAGCTGAAGAGCTGAGGGACAGCGCCCAGGCCCAGAATTCAGGCCCCATGACCGGACCCCCCCCAAAAAAAAAGAATTCCACATGAAGGGGCTGGGAAGATGGCTTAGTGCTAGAGTGCTTGCCTTGCATGCATGAGGCCCTGGGTTCTATTCCTCAGCACTACATAAGCAGAAAAAGCTGGAAGTGGCGCTGTGGCTCAAATGGTAGAACGCTAGCCTTTAGCTGAAGAGCTGAGGGACAGCGCCCAGACCCAGAGTTCAGGCCCCACGACTGACAAAAAAAAAAAGAAGGTGCCGGTAGATCATGTCTATAATCCTAGATACTCAGGAGGCTAAAATCCTGAGGATTGTGGTTTGAGGCCAGCCTGGGCAGGAAAGTTCATGAGAGATTTTTCTCCAATAAACTACTCAGAAAAAGCTGGAAGTGGGGCTGTGGCTCAAGTGGTAGAGCCTTGAGCAAAAGGATCTCAGGAACAGTGCCCAGGCCAGGATTCAAGCTCCAGGAACAGCAAAAAACAAACAAAAGAATCCCAAATAAAGCCAATGGCCTCTGTCAAATCCTCACTCTTCCAGATTTTGTGTCTTAGTACTTTCCTACTGAAGATACTTAGAATCTGAGAGTAACATTTAGCAAAAGAAAAGCACTGAGTTAGAAGAAAAGCCCTTCTTTCTACTCTTTATCTGCCAGTGCTGGTTAAGTCATTCCCATTGGGCTTCTTAGTGGTGTCTCATTAAGACACCCAGTGACAAACACCTGTCAATATTGTCAGTCATTATTTCCTCAATCCTACATGCTCCACCTGTACCAGGACTGAGATGGAGATCAAGGAAAGTGGCTGTCAGATGTGATGCCAAAATGTCCCTTTCTTGGTGAAGCTCATGATTGTATTGGGAAACAAGAGTCACACACACACACACACACACACACACACAGCATGCAGGAAATAACTGAAAAGTAGCACATGGGCAGGAGAACTTGTAGGCCCATTGAATTCTTAGTCACTGAAATCAACAATACAGTATCTTCTCAGCTGAGGCTTCCTAGGTTTCCAACTATACCACCAACAGACTGTCTCCCCAGTGAGGTTGTGAGCTGTTTAAAGGCCAAGCCATGCCTTTTGTACCTGTCTCTCCTGAAGGTAGGCCTATGCTTCACCCTATGGTGAGTCATGGTTGACTGCTGACCATGTCCCCCGGCAGTATGGATCCCAGGAACATTGGATGATTGTAATTGTGCCAAATGATGACTGAATAAGGAAATGGTGTGGGTGGGTTGCAGTCATTCATTGGCAACTTGAGCATAGAACCCTGGCTCTTTTGTATCCCACGGTACCCTATAGCCTAGGAAGTTTCTGGCACATGATATAGGCTCAATAATTTTCTGATGTACAATGAGCCAGAGCCTAGCAAGTCTTGAGTTACATTTTGGAAAGTGATAGTACAAATCTGTGGTGAGAACAGTATTCTAGGTAAAGAAACAGTCCCCTATTCAAGAGATATCCTTTTACTCATTTTTTTTCTGCCCACCTATGAGATGCTTAACTAGATTCTGGAGTCCAGAGATGATTAAGACATTCCTTGCCTGTTACAGGCTCAGAATCTAAAGAGGGCACTAAAGAGGGATTTATTTATTAACTTTTTAGTAAGCAAAGTACCCAAAACTGTATCAAGATTATGACAGAACAGGAGGTGCAGAGAGCATCAGGGTGAAATGAGAGCTGTCACTCTTGTACCCTGCTTCCATCCCTTCATCTTCCAGGACAAATTCTGCCACCAGGGTCTCCAGGAAACACCTGCTTGGGAGGCCTTGGTTGTGTGTCCTTTACCATTGGTCCTTGGGAACCTGGTGATAACACTGCTTCCATTTTCACTCTTATAACCTGATCAATCAAAGAGAGACGATGCTTAGACTGAATCCTGGAGACAGTAGGTGGGAAGGAAAAGGAAAACACAAAGGCTAAGAGACATGGGAAGACCTGTATGTTTGGAGAAAGCCAAGGATGTGTGGCCAGGGCCGATAGGAAGTAAGCCTGAGGTATAGGCAGGGAGCTGGACAGGAAGGGCGTAGGTGTGGCTGTGGAGGCTACTGGACAGTTTCTCTTGGAAACAGTCCCAGCTTGGGACTGACAAGCTGGAAACCATTTGAGTGATGAGTTGGGCAGTGGCCTGGAAGACAGGCGGGAAGACACCAGCTGGGTGGCAGTGGCACAAGACAATAGTGAGGGCACATGCAGAGCACGGATGGGAAGGCAGTCTTGGGTATGAATGTAAAGAGGACAGGATAAAGGAAGCACTAATGTTATGTCAATGCACACCCAGCAGGAAGCTGGCTTTTCTTCATGTCAGGTATTCTGGTGGGACCCCAACAACCTCACCTGACCCCACCTGATTCACCCTTTAGTCTGATGGGGAGGCAGCCTTGCCTGGAAGAAAGAGCTAAATGGACTTGCCTTCCTTTTCTGTCTCTCTCTGTCTCTGTCTCTCTCTGTCTCTTTCCCTTTCACATCTACATGGGACACCCCATCATTTAGGGTCAACTCCCCCAAAGCAGACCTGCCCCAGGCTTCCTGTGTGTCACAAGTCTTTATCTCTATCTGATTATTACAGTATCTTCCAGGGAGAGAGACCCCTCCCTTGTCTTCTGCCCCAGGTGTGCTGTTAATGATAGAAATGCCAGCCGAGGTGGCAGGGGAGAGGGGAGGGCAGTCATTGGCTTGAGAGGCAGGTAGGGTCTAGAAGGTTCTCAGATCCCACTTGCCCATTCATATTTGAGACCCCAAACTCTTGCTTCAAGGGTCAAAATCTACCCCAAATCCAGGAAGCCTGGTTTTGACATACAGTTAGAAAGCCTTAATTTGCCCTCCAAGGTCAGGTATCATGGGAATGTAAGGGTTGGTTTGAGAGTGGGGATCACCTGGCACAGAATTTAAAGGCCTAGAAAGTTCACTCTAGCAGCCTAGGGTAAATGGAGGTGAAGGTTAACCCAGTAATATCCTGATGTATAATTTACCAGGTAACCAGGATCCGCTACTCTAGACGAAATTCCATCCTGCCCCTGCCGCCTCCCTGAGCACAGGGAGGGGCCCAGGGACCAGCCCTGCCTCCCCATGGGCCAGGCAGTTAGGTGCCTGATAACAGAGTCCAGCACCCCTTCTTTTGTCCCTAGACTATCACAAAGCCCCTCTTCTTCCAGGGGAAGGGCACCAGTCCCTTTACAACAAGCCCACTTCCTTGCAGCTTGGCACAATGGGCTCCCATGGAGTACACAGCTATCTCATTGTGGCATAAAATGCCATAAAGTCAGAACAAAGAGAAAGCCCAGGGCCTTGATGGGTCTGCTGCTTCCTGCTGAGCAGAGAATACAACCAATTGTTTAAGAGCCAGTGGTGAGGCAAGTGGCCAATTAGCACAGCCTTCCCCTCACAGCCTGTAACTGTGATTCCACGGGCAGAAAGGGATTCTGCTATGCAGATCACTTGCTGCACAAGAAGCAAGCCTGTTCACACTGCCCAATTTAGAAGCCCCAAAACAGCAAATGCAAAAGCAACCTGGGCCGTCCCTGGGACCCATGAAATCCCAACCACACTGAATAGCCAGCACATTGCCCTGAGCGTCTGCAGTGTCCACCGATTGGTTTCCTGCTCCTTTAAAGTGGTGTAAAGGAGTCTTAAAACATCCCTGAGACTGGGGAATTATACATCTGCTCACAATTGCATTGGGGGGGGAGAAATTCATTTTTCATTGTCTTCTTTCTCATAGTTGTCAAGAAATCACCCACAACCCAGACCGGAAGAAAATGAAAGTAGGTTTGGGGCGTCAGTCTTGCCACTTTGAGGGTGTTCACTAAAGCACCTTTTTTTTTTCTTACTGTTACTGTGAACTTAATGCTGGGCAGCAGTGGGAGGAAATCATGTCCACCACCCAGAGGCAAAAATAACCCCACAAAGCTTGGGAAACTCTAGCTGCACTGAACAATCCGGAAAGCAAGTCCAAGGATGCTGGAGAGAGGCAGGGCAGATAAGAATTTTAATTCATCCTGAAAGCAAGGAAAAGGGTCAACAAAGGGGAAGAGGCTATCAGCAAGCGGAAGAGGGTTTTTTTTTTAGGGGGGGGATGTTTTTTGTGGTTTTTTCCCCCTTTTCCTTGCTAGAATTCTCCAGCATCCAGTATTTTGTGAACTTTATTTTGTTATTATTGTTGTGGTGGTTGGCTGTTGTTATTGTTGTTGTTGTTTCCTATCATAATCCTGACTGGGATTTTCCTTCCCAAACACTGAAAGGGGCCTATTTGGCCATTACCAAAAGGAACCATATTGGTTGGCAAGCTCAAGTCTTGATTGGATGGTGTTACCATTAGGCCCAATTTAGCGTAGCTCCTGGATTCAGAGGTTGAGCAAAGCAAACAGGTCCCCGAGAAAGCTCCTAAAAAGGAGGCAGGGCGAAACAGGTTGAAGAAAAAGGCTTCTCCCTCTTCTTCAGTCCATAGAAATTCCCACCAGGAAAAAAAAAGATCTTGATTACAGCTGGAGGGCGAGGCTCGGGAAGAGCTACCTCTTCTCAGCAGGGAGGATGATAAACACTGCAGTGCAGGGGGGTGGGGGCTGTCCTCTGGGGGTTCGGGGAGAGATTTTTACAACCACCTGCCCTTGTCTCCCACCCTGGGCTGAGCCCTGGGAATGGCGGAGGAACTTCCCCCCCCCCAGCGATCCCGCCTCCGGGGGTGCGGCGCGGGGTGGGGGGTGGGGCAGTAGCCCTTTCCCACCCTGTTTCTAGTGGTCCCTGGGATGCCCCGGGGGACCCCCCGCGCCCCCAATAGATGGGTGCAGAAGACGGGTGGAGCCAACTCAGGGCTCCGCGGGGTGGGGCCCACACAGGCGACCCTGGGGAGGCCAACTTATTATTATTCGGGGCACAGAGCCATGGGAAATGGGGTGACTCTTACTTGCGCCCACAGAAAGAGCCCCCGCGGCCCCACTCCCCGCGAGTCCAGCGAGTCCGGCCGAGTCTGGCCCCGGGGATGCTCCAGTGGCCGCCCGGGCGGGCGCCGCCCCAGGGCGGTGGGGTCTCGGTGACCTTTGTGTGCCCTCCGCACCCACCTCCTCTGGAGACGTCGTCTCGAGGCGGTGGCTCGCCCGGCAGGTCCTCCGCTTGGCCTGGGCGAGGGTCTCCGGGCGGGGAGACCTGGGCTGGGTCCCTGCGCCCCGCCCCGCTGCGCCCCGGAGCCGGGCGCGCCCGGGTGGGTTCGGCTGGGCAGCTGCGCCCTCTAGTGTCCAGTGCTGGCCAAGGCGGAGCCCAGGCCCAGGCCGCGGGCTGGGGACCCTTAAACAGGAGCTCTCGATTCTGAGCCCGCCCCACCCCACGCTGCGCTTTTATTTTTTTGGGGGGGGTTCTAAAAGGACCCCTCAAGAAGAGGCTCCCCGGACAGAGGAAGGGAGGGGACCTGCTGTCCTCCGTGTGGCCCTAAGGCAGATTGTCCCCGGATTGTCTGGCACCCATTAACCACCTGTGCTCAGGGAGCTGGGTTGGGCTCTAGATTCCACCCCACCATTCCCAGCGGCCCTCGGTCCCAATGAGGATTAACCAAGTTGTCCCCTGGAAAATAGGGGTCCAGGCCCTCTCCACCTATCCCCCTGTCTTAGGTGCACCTCGGACAAGGGTGGACAGAGCCAGGGGCCAAAAGAGCCCTGCAGAGAGGGACCAGCCAGGTGTGCCGTCAGCCTGGCCTGCTTCCAGAGACATTAACAAAATAAGAGCTACTAGAGCAGCCAGACCCAGGCAGGCCCAGAGGCTTCCACCCTCCTCAGCCCTCCCTCATCAGCACACACACACCCTCCCCCAGCTTCACCCCCAGCCTGGCATGACCCACCTGGTTGCCTGCACTTTGTTCATTTGGGGCTGCCAGCACTAAGTCACACCTGTGACCTGCCACCCCAGCACAGTTCAGGTCAAGGCAGGGGGGAGGGGGAGACAAAACATCAGGACAGGAAGTGCCAGCTGCTTTGCGGTTCTGAGGTGTCCATGCCAGCTTGTTTGCTGGGTACCCTCCCCTTGGCCCTGAGGAACAAAAAACAAAAAACAAACAAAAACCCTCGCTCCAAGGCCACTGTTAGCACCCAGGTAAGGGAATCTGGGAAGGTGTGCCCTGTCACACAGCTCTGTGGCCCAACCCCCCAACAGCTGCTTACCATATGTCACAGATCATCACCATAGCCAAGAGCAAGGCTGGGCAGGGGAACAATGCCACCTGCTGATTTCCATACAGGTGTGGACAGTAGGAACAAGCATGCTGGCCCTTAGGCCAAAGGCTAGACCAGAGCTTGCATCCTGCCTTTTCCCAAACTCAAGTCAAATCTCCCAAATTTTAGAGAACACCTAAGTATGAGCTATCAAACTGGGGCAGCTCTAGGGGGTGGGGCTTCCTTGAGGCTAAAGGTAGCGCTGAAGAGGCTCTGGAGGGAAATGGAGAGATGACAACAATCAGAAGCTGTTAGGGGGTGGGGGGAGGAATGGACTGGTACTGGGGATTGGACTCAGCACCTGAGCCACACTCCAGGCCCTGTTTAGTTTGGTTTATTATTGTTGATGCTCCTTTTTGCCAGTCCTGGGACTTGAAATCAGGGCATGGGGACTGTCCCTGAGTTTCTTTTGCTCAAAGCTAGTGCTCTACCAGTTGAGCCATAGCACCACTTCCAGCCTTCTCCGAGTGGTTTGTTGAAGAATCTCAAGGACTTTTCCTGCCCGAGCTGGCTTCGAACCATGATCCTCAGATGTTAGCCTCCTGAGTAGCTAGGATGACAGGCTTGAGCCACCAGCACCCTATAGTTTGTTTTTAAGTACAGCCTTGGGGCAAGATCATCCTATCTCTGCATCCTGAGAAACGGAAATTGTAGGTGTATACCACACCTACTCCAGAAACTGTTTCTGAATATTGAGGCGATGCTCATTCTAGCCAAGATGGAAAGATATTGCAAACAAGAGTTAGCCCCCAAGAATAAGGAGACACCTTCCACTACCCTCCACCCATGGCACTCTGACCTGTCTCCAGTGCCACACCTTCCTGCTAGCATAGGTCTCTCCCTAACCCCTGACTTCTGGTAGATATCTTACAAACCTTACTGTCAGGTAAAGCAGTGTTGGGGGGGGTGGCTGGGGACATTGTTCTGAGAGGAGATCATGCATGGCTCCTCTATTCAGCCTGTAAACATTTGCACACCAGGCTAAGTGGGATGTGGAGATGACTGAGAACATTTGAACAAGAGTCTGCAGTCCAGCTACTGGTCAGGCTAAAACAACCACACAGCCCTAGGCTGCAGGTGCCCACTCCAGGCTTTGCAGCCATGTGTGTGTGTGGCTGGAGTGGAACAGAGAAGGACGGTGACACCATGTTCTTTCGTGACAGATCCTGAAGCCGACTGAGGCCTGAGATGACCTCTTGTTTTCTAGGTTCCGAGTCTGGAGATGGAAATGAGAGCAATTTTTCAAGCCGGGTCGTCTAGCGAGGGAGCCGGCCATGGGGCACAGCAGAGACCCCCTGCAGCCAGCGGCCCTCCCATATCCTGTGAGCCCCTTTCCTGCCTCCTCTTTACTGAAACCAAAGCCACCGTGTCCAGTTACCATTTGCAACTTGTACCACTCTGCGTGGGGCTCCGGCCTGGGTGATCACAGCTGCCACAGGGGACAGTGGAGTTCCGGGCAGCCCAGGTCTAAACCGCTGGGGCTGCTGAGCCCCCTGGCAGGCTGTCCTCCTGTGGCCAAGAAGCCCAAGGTGCCCTCTGCAGTCCCAGCAGCTGGGATCCTCTGCTCAGGGTGCTGGTTCAGGCTTCCATCCACCCCAAGTGGAATGGAGCCAGACCTTCAGTAAACTGACTTATTCTCCAGCCTTCATGTTATTTCCCTTCTTGGCAGAGGAAGGCAGCGTGTCTCGTGCTTCAGGGAGAAGGAAGGACATATCCCCTCCCCGCAGAAAAACCATACATCTCCACCTGCACTTCTGCTCAGCTGCCCATTACCACAGGGAATGACGCACCTCAGGCCCCCATGGGCTAGAGCAGTTGAACCCACTTAGGACCTGCCCCAAGACTAAGTCAAGGCTTGGGATGAAAAAAAGGTCAAAGAGATTCAGTGGGGAAATTGTGTGTGTGTATGGGGGGGAGGGGCGTTGAAAGAGATTGGAAAGAGATTGGAGGGCGAGTTATAGTTGTGTAGGGGAGAGGAGAAAAAAAAAAAGAGAAACAGATAGGAGCCAATGTGGTGGCTCATGCCTATAACCCTAGCTACTCAGGAGGCTGAGATCTGAGGAGGATTGTGCTTCAAAGCCATCCCAGACAGGAAAAGCCATGAGACTCTTTTCTTCAACAAACTACTTGGAAAAAGCCAGAAGTGGTACGGTGGCTCAAGTGATAGAGCACTAACTAACCTTGAGCAAAAGAAGCTCAGGGACAGTTCCCAGGCTTTGAGTTCAAGACCCAGAACTGGTACAAAGGGGGAGGGATGAGCAAACCTCTAGAAACAGAGATAGGTTAGTTAATTCATTAGCGATGGAAGAATGGAAGAGTATGCTACATGCAAATGTGTTAAACACACCCGCGTGCGCACACACACATACACACAGACCCAAAGCCAAACATCAAAGACTATATAGTCCATGATGATTCCACTTATACAGTTTCTAGGAAAGGCAGTAAATCCCACAGATCTGTGGGTTCTGGGAACTGGAAAAGGCACGGGGACTGAGCAGACACCTGCTGGTTCATAGTGATATTCACACAACTAGACAAATTTGCTCAAGCTCATTGAGCTGCATGTTTACAAAGCCTGAACCTGATGCCACAGTCTAGGTATGTACCTCCGTGTTCTCAAATTTGGTGGGGAAAGGGTCTAAGGGAGCAGCAGAAAGAAAGGCGACATGAAGAAAAGGAAGTGCTTCCCTCTCTTACTTTGAACATCCATGCTTCTGTTTGGAGAGACAGAGGGGAGGAGGGAGAAAGAGAATCATGGAGGACAAATGGGCCCTTTGGCTCATACTTATCATTCTAGCTGTTCAGGAGGCTGAGATCTAGATGATCCATGTTTGAGGCTATACTAGGTAGAAAAGTCCTTGAGACTCCCATCTCCAAAAACAATCAGCAAAAAGCTGGGCTGGAGACATAATTCAAGTGGTGAAGCAGCATCAAGCTAGCTGAGAAAATGGCTAAGCCCTTGAGTTCATGAGATGGCTCCTGCTTTCCAACCCAGCCCTCTCCTGGTAGGCTCAAAGCCTCGAGATGAATGATGGGGCCAGCGGGGCTTTAGGGAGGCGGAAGTAGCACGTGTGCATCCTTGCAGCTCCAGTCCCAAGGAAAGATGGGACTGTCTGAGTCTGTCATCAGAAAAACATTGCCTGTGAAAAGGGTGCTCTTTTTACAGAACATTGCTCCAGGGTGCACCCATATACAAGCCAGGCTTGCCTCCTACAAGGTCAGAAGTAGGAGAGACACCAAATCGAAGTCCACACCACCTGCCCATGGGGCTCCTTCGTGAGGCCTTCCCCTGGTGCCTAAAGGGCCGAATCTCCGGTCAGAAAAGGCAGAGCTAAAAGGGCTGTGTTTCCCTCTGTAATGGGGGGTGGGGGTGTAATTCTTGCCAGCCTCTACCAGAGGCTGACACACACAGGGCCTCTGCCAGCCTTTGGCTCTTCTGGTAGCTGTCATGATGACTCTTGAGTATGTGCCAGGCTGTGAGGTGTGATGAGACCCACCCCCACAGGCTCAGCCTTCTTGGGACAAAGAGAGATAGACAGAAAAAGTCAAAGAAGGGTAACAGGAGACTGTATTTCCCTTCCCTCCCCTACCCTCCAGTACTGCCTAAGAGCTGTAGATCCTGGGGGAAAAAAATAGGCACTTGAAATGTCTCTGTAATCCAAATAATCCTGTGAAGCAACTATTATTAACCCCAAGTTACCTGGCAGGAAATTGAACCTCATGGAAGATAAGGAACCACACCCAAGTTCCCAAGCATGACGCTGAGATCTGGAGGATTGCTATTTGTGGCTCTACTGGGCCAAGGCCAGGTGCTTGATCCCTCTGCTCCACTGCCTGGGAGAGATGGCAACACCTTTACCAGCTCCCAAGTTGAGGTATGGGATGCTAGAGCCAAGGGGCTACAACAAAGGGCATGGAGGAGAGAGAGGGGCTTGAGAGATGGAGGAGCAAGGAGGTGAGGCAGGAGGGGGCAGATGGCGGGGGCATGGAGGGCTAGAATGGGGTTGTTAGGCAGTGGAGAGGTGGGGGTCTCAAGGTCAGACTGGGGAGCTGAGAATCCATACACAGCAAAGAGCCTCCAAGTTCCCCTTTCCCACCCGGTGGTAAACTCCCATCTCTAACAGCCCCAAGAGGGGTTAAGTGTGGGCTTCAAGATCTATGTTTACTGGAGCAGCAGAGCCCATCATTCCTTTGCATTGTACCCACGGCCCTGCTCCAGCCTACGGACCTTCAGCTCCTTCCTCCTGAGGAAGGGAAGCCACGGAGGAACAAAGGAAAGAAGCCCATTCTTGATGTTTGAACTCAGGACCTTGTGTTGGCCAAGCAAGCACTCTACTCCTTGAGTAAATCAAAGTCCTTGAGTCTCAAAGCCTGACTGCCAGATCGTAAGAGGCCTCGCTTCCGTCCCCGTTGCCCCTCCCACCACCTTTTCCAATTCTGGAAGGGGTAGAATGGGCAGGGCAAGCTCCACTACTTGTGCTTCTGTTTCCTCATCTGCAAAGTGGAGACAGTAACACCTCATGACATAAGTGAACAAGCATCAAGTAGAACAGGACTCATACATGGTAAAGACAACCAGGCTTCCATACCCTTAGGTCTAGCATCCATAGATCCAACCAGCATGGGATAGAAAATATTAAAATCCTGTGGAATTTCTAATATACTTTTTCCCTACATAATTCATAGGAATTACAGCATATAGAGACGATTTTAAGTACATGGGAGAGGCCAGTGCATGTCTATAGTCCCACTTACTTGGGAGGTAAAGGTAGGAGGATCACAGAATGAGGCCAGCTCCTGGCTGAGGGGGGCGGGGTGAGGGAGGGAGCAAAATCCCGCTTGAAAAATAAGGTAAAAAGGGTGTGGGGTGATAGAGCACTTAGCAAGCACGAAGTCCTCAGTTCAAATTCCAGTACCACCAAATGACATACAGGAGGAAAGGTGCACAAATTATAGGGAAATATTATGCCAACTTTATATATGAGACTTGACACTGTCAGATTGGGTATCTGCAGTAGGTCCTAGAACCAAACCTCCTCAGATACTCAGGAATGACTGCGCTGACAAACTTATTATCACGGAGGAACTATATAGCTGATGCCATGTTTACAGCCCCTGACGCTCCAGTACTGGGAAAGATACCCCAGGCTGCCCAGTCCGAGAGGTACACAAGGGCAGCACAGCTCTGCAACGTAACCTGGCAGAGCGAGGAGCATACTCGTCCCCATTGTGGACGTTGGTCCCGCTAGACTTCAAAGCTCAGAAGCACTTGGAAATAAAGGCAGAAATGCCAACAGGGCTAGAAAAGTGCGGACTAGTATTTCCTTGGAAAGCCTAGAGCAAGTTCTCCACCTGCTGATAGAAGACTGTTTTCTCCTGAATGTGTGACCTGGATCCTCACTGCCAGCAGCATATCTTCCTCTGGCACAAAAGGGCCACTTGCAGCTGTTTTCCTGCCAGATCTCCTAGGGCTGGCATTTGCCTGTTTTCTGCCCCTCTGTACTGGGAGCTAAGTGGGGGCTAGTGGTACAGGCCTGTCATTTTAGTTACTTAGGAGGCTGAGATGTGAGGATCATCATTCAGAGCCCATCCAGACAGGAAAGTCCATAAGATTCTTATCTCTAGTTAACCACCAAAAAGCTAGACATGGGTGGATGGTGTAGTTGAAGTGGTAGAGTGTGTCAGCATTGAGCAAAAGAGCTATGGGACAGCACCTAGGCCCTGAGTTCAAGCCCTAGTACAGATACCAAAACCAAGCAAAACGTTTACCGGGAACTGATTCTGGTAGGAATAAAGATTGAGGCCAGCCTTTTCCTGGCCTAAGATGAAGTCAGGCCCCGCAGAGCCATCTGAATGCTTTTATCTTACTCTGGTCCCCGCTCACGACCCCTCATTTCCTTGGTGTCCTTTCCCTTCCTCTCCCCTTTCCTGCTTGCCTTCCTCAGTGCCCTCCCCAAGATGGAATTCTTCACTGTGAGCCTGCCATGCTCACAAGCCCTGGGGCCTCAGGCAGCTCAGCCAGGTTCAGGCCACTCAGTCCAGAAGAGCCACGTGGTGTGGCTGGCTCCTCTCCCCACTGGGCCAGGCCAGCCCTGCCAGGATACCTGGGAGGAGGCCATCCCCGACATGACACAAGAGTGACTGCCAGGGATGCCATTCTACAGCCGCCTCGGATTCATTGAGTTGTCACTGAATGTCCAGGTGGCCAGAGCGGGGCCGGCTGAGTCCTGCAAGGGAAGCCTGGGCACAGTGCCTGGCAGACAGCG